TGATGGCTCCATTCTTTCTGGCCAATGGGCAAGTTATGTGTCCTTGCTCCCATGCATAGACTGTGCTGAAGTATTAACGACTGCCAGGATACCTACTAGCACTCTTCCTGCTGTGACAATCATGGAGAATGTGACACTTAATTTTGGTAAAACATACTTCCAGGTGTGTCTGAGAGTGTATTTCCAGAGAAGATTGGCATGTGTGTGGGAAGACCTGCCTGAACATGGAGGCACCATCTGCTAGGCTAGGGTCCCAGAGGAACCAAAAAGTGGAAGGAGGTAAGCTAACATGCTCAACCCTTCTTCAACTGGGATGTTTTTGCTGCTGCTATTATTACCTGTGGACATCTGATTCCAGAGTCTTCAAACTTTGCACAAGGACTTGCAACAGAGTTCTCAAGGTGCTTTTAGGCCTTTGGCCTCTGACTAGGGCTGCATCATTGATCTTTCTTGTTCTGAGGCTTCCAGCTCCATGGAGGGAGGAGCTTCAAGTTTCCCTGGCTTTCCAGCTTGCAGATTCCCATTATGGGGCTATTTAGCCTCTGATCATATAAGTCAATATAATAAACCCCCATACATACTAATAGAATGTATCATCATGAATTATATCACTTCTATTCTTCCAGCGATCTCTGACTAATTCAGAGAATGAGAGAGGCATTGGGTTGAAATGGAGGTACTAATTATTCAAAGTAGCATAGAGAATAGGTGCACCGGAACATGACTTGGAAGTGAGAAATTAAATTAATTGTATTAAGCTACCAAGATCGACGGTGGTTATTGCAGCATAGCATAGCCTAAACTATCTAATAGAGAAAGCTTCTTTGAGATATTTAAACTAACACTTAATTGATAAAGAGGAACTAACAGAGAATATCCTAGGAAGAGGATGATTTATATGAAAAAAATGTTAAGAAAGAGCTCATTGTGTTGGTGTTGATGTCCTAGAAGTAGAAAGTAGAACAGTGGTTGTCAGAGGCACAAGTAGCTAGGGGATGTGGGGGAATGGGGAGGTGTTGGTCAAAAGATATAATTACAGGGCCCCCGGGGGCTAGGGGAAGATGATAGGTGGGGAAGGGAAGAGAAATGGAAATGACTACTAACTGTCATGGAGTCTCTTTTTTATGTGGTGAAGATGTACTAAAATTGATTATGGTGATGGTTGCATGTGGTGATGGGTTAGTATGTTCAGTTTTGTGAATATTCTAAAATTATTGGATTATACACTTTAATTGGTTGAATTGTATAATACATGAATTATGTCTCAATAAGGCTAGTTTAAAAAAAAACTTAAGATAATAACGTGTCCCAGACTTTCAAATCCCTTGCTTAACATGAAAAATATTCATATTCTCAACATGCAGGAACAGGGCTAGGGATGTAGCTCAGCCAACATAGCATATGCCTAGGAAGCATGAAGCCTCGTTTGATTCCAAGCACCACAAGAAAAAAAAACAACACACATACAGAAAGATATTCTTCTCTGAGTAGGAATGTCATAGCAGTCATATTCCAAGCAGGGAGGATACCACAGTTGTGAGTTCTCATGAGAGCTACAGAGAATAAGGATTGGGAACCAGCTCCCTGGAAGATAAATGTAAGAACTTACAGAATCACAGAGTGCTATGTATTTCCTTTCAAGGGTTTCTTTTAATTTTTTTTTCTGAGAAATTGTGGTTTCTGACACTCATTCCTGACAATGCAAATGATAGTGTTGAAAAACAATGTCCCACAAAGAAAATGAAACAAACCCCATAAACATTGGTTTTCGGGTGTGCTTAACATGAGAATCTCCCACTCACTTCTCAAAAGCTAAAGAAAAGTGGCATCAGAATCAGATTTTTTAAAAAGTTCTTTTAAACATTATTATTTTAAACATTATGTAGTCTACTCTCAAAGACGAATTCTTGAATCCTCTCAACACCACTAGTATGTTAGTCTGTTTTCACTGAGTGTTGAGATTCTCAGCAGCATCCTCTTAGCACACAAATTAGACATGAAGGACTGGGAAATTTTTAATAGACCCATAACTGGAATTACCCACTGATCTGGAGATGTCAGAGGTGGGTAGCAGGGTCCTAGAGTCAATGTCAGTGCTGAGAGAAAATTCAGGCCTGACTTGCAGAACCTGGACTCTCAACAGTTGAAGAAACCTGTAATGAGTATAAAATGGTGACCAGCATCTGAGACAGATGTTATTCTGGAGACACAGAAATAGCAAACCCAGGAGGTGTTGTTTAGATACATAAGATGACAGGACAGTGTGTCAGGATGCAATTCATTCTGTGAAGAATTTCTATAGCAGAATTAAAAATGATATATTCTGGTCTGTGAAGCCCCTAAACCTGACCTTCTGCTTGCAGCTCTGTCTTCATGACATGTCCTCTTGCCTCTCTACCCTCTATGCTCACACCATGCTGACCTTTCAGACCAAGCTCTTTGTCATAAATATTAGATGTCATCTCCTCACAGAGCTTTTCCTTATGACACGCTAACATTTCATATCCTTTTCATTCCCTGAATACTTTAGAACTCTCTCTGCCTTAGTGCTACACGCTCAAGGAGAACAGGACACCTGTTGATAAAGAGGAACTAACTAATTCATTTGGCTAACAAATAAATTAATTTAGTTGAGGGATGGAACTAAAAGATAGAAGTTTTTGTAGCTAAACATACATGAAACCGAAGCCTTGACTAAAAAATAGCAGAAGTGTGTCACCTTAATTCAAATCTTAATAAATGAAGAAATGAAGACAGGTGGTAGGGGTGAAGTAGAGGGAGGGATGGTGCTGAATGACTTGAGCCTTGCAGGAGAATAAACTACAGTTCTCTGCACAAAAATTGTGGATTTGTTTCTATTGGAGTATGGGAAGTGTGGAGGAGAGAGAGAACATCTTAGAGGAGTGAGATGGGTGAAGAAGTGTCTACCAGTAAGAGGAGAGTTACCCAAGGCACAAGGGAAGGAAGGAAGGGTTTTTGAAGATGGAGGATCACAGAGATAAGTCGTAGCAAAAGTGATTCTCCTCAAACATGCAAACTTGCTGCAAGTTTACACGATGCCTGGTCTAATCTCAGAGAATAGGGCCCCAACTACCAGGATCTGGAGTCAGCGTCTAAATACACAGAAAAAATAGGTATTTATCACATCACTATGGAAGTTCTGATGTAGGTACTATGCTGGGCACTGGTCAGGGTGGTGAGAGGAAGTAATAAGATGACAAGTGGAAGTAAGAAAAGAATCCTATGTTTCTTGCCCCTTCTACAGCAAATCACTTCGTTCTATAGGATACTTATTTTTTCCTAATAGAATTAAGCAAACTTAATAGATGGATGCCAATAGCAACTAGTTCATAGAAAACTGTCCAAATGAACTTTGGATCTGAATACCCTCCTTGTAATTAGGTACACAACTTAGAGACACACCAATTCTCTAAAGCAGTAGAGAGTCATCAAGTAATCCTCCATCTGAAACTGAGCATTCATTTGTATTTTTGTTATTGTGTAGTTTTTTTCTACTCCCAAAGGTGCAGTTTAAGCATTAATCCCTCACATTGAGCATTCAATTAATGACAAACCCTTTATGTTATAGCACTTTAGATATGCTACTCAATTACTCATCTCAACAATCTTAAATGGACACTATTATCCTTCTATGACAGATGAGGATGTGTCACAACACACGACAACAGGTTAGGGTCACTCCAAGTGAATTTTGGCAGAATAAATAAAGACAAGTACACATAAAGTAACTTTTCTTTGGGTTTAGTGACCTCTCCTCAGCCACAGCTCCCACAAGGGAGGCAAGGGAGGCAAGAAAGAGAAAGAACATGCCTTGAACCCAGGTTTTACTGGGAAGAAGCCATTCAAATGAGGCAAGGGGTCAGGTTTCAGGGGGTTGAGTCTAGCTTCTTGCTGTCAGCACATTGTCTGACATCTTGGAAGATCACGTCCATCTCATGTGCTATGTGATGATCAAAGGCAGAACAAACGAAGGGGACACATTATGTGCACAGCCCAGACAGAGCAGCATTATCAGTCCAGTCTCTTTGTGCGCTCTAAATGCTCACAGCTCACACACACAGCCCATGGGTGGCTCACCACAAGGATGCTGAGTCTTAGAGAAGCTAACTTGTTGAACAAATAAAGTGACACACAGTCCCAATGCACCTAACTTCAGGCCCATGTTCTTTCAAGTGTAACTCACCTCACTTTGAAACCAAAGTAAGGCTCAGTGTCATGGAAGTGGTTACAGTTTGTGTCAGAGCAATGCTGTCTTGAGAAAACTGAAGGCAGAGGAAACAACGTATTAGATGTAGCTGGAGTTTGATTTTTTGTTGTTGTTGTTGTTCAACTAATGATCTTTGAACAACCATTTATCCTCTCTGTGCTGATCAACTTGGTGGTCACAGAGTAACAATTTGACACTCCCCCAGAAACTGACAGTGTTATGGCATATCTGAAAAAAAATTCATACTTATTGCATTGATGAGTAAATGAATTCAATATATTCAGTCTAATGCCATGTGGGAGATTAGGAGAGAAGAGTTCATATGAAGGAAGCTAGTGGTTCTATTCAGGAAGGGGACAGAATACCATGGAAGTACTAGAACTTGACTTTGTTCTGGGCTGTGGTGTGATTTAGTTTATGAAAGAAAAAAACTTGTCTTCAAACGTTTCCTGAAAATGATCAGTACTTTTGGAATTGAAAGTTGGCTTAGAAACTAGGATGACTACAATATAGAGGAAATTCTGGGGTTTTTCTCCCCCTTTTTTGCTCAGTGACTGCTTTGATCAGAAAGGGCAATGAAAGTGCCCTTGTTTGCTGTCTGACTGAAGGAAACAAAGATAATGACCAATTGAACAGGGCTGTTCTTCTGACAGAGTTCCTGAGTTGGAGGAGAAAGCTAACAGGTGCTTCTGCCTTTAGAAAGGGTTGGGTACTGGGGAGATCAAAGTTAACAGGGGTAGTATATAGCTTTGTCAGCCAGAGCTGGTTTTGTTGAAGTGAGAAAGTGAAACCTCAAAAGACCTGAGAAGCCCTCTTCCCTTTTTGAAAGCTGCTTCTCAGCAGAATTTGGAAAGCCCCAGACCCAGTTCACCCAATTCATCTGACAAACAGGGCAGCGAAGTGACAGAAACTTCTGGGCCTGTCCACGGCTCCCTAGGTTAGGAGAAGCCATGGAAAAGTTTAAGACAGTGCTGGACCTGCACCTCAAGTACAGTAGCGCTCTGGGTTATGGCCTGGTGACACTGTTGACGGCAAGCGGGGAGCGCATCTTCTCCACTGTGGTGTTCCAGTGCCCCTGCAGCGCCACCTGGAACCTGCCCTACGGCTTGGTCTTCCTGTTGGTGCCAGCGCTTGTGCTCTTCCTCCTGGGCTATATGTTGAGCTCTCGCACGTGGCGCCTACTGACCGGCTGCTGCGCGCCCGGCGCCCGTGTGAGGTGCAGCTCTGGGCTGCGGGGCGTGCAGGTGTTCGCGCAGATCAGCGTGGCTGCAGCGCTCGCACCCCTCACCTGGGTGGCCGTGGCGCTGCTTGGGGGCTCATTCTATGAATGCGCAGCCAGCGGGAGCAAAGTCTTGGAGCAGTACCTGTGCAGAAACCGCACAGGCTGCACCGACCAGCTACCGCTGGTTCCCTGCAGCAAGGACCAGAAGTCCGACCTCCAAGACCTCCTGAAGGAACTCAAGGCTCAGTCGCAGGTCAGGCGCTGGCGCTGGACGCGGGTTGGGAGGAGCAGGAGGGCGACCTCGTGAAGGAGAATTCAGTGACTTTTCTCCAGACAGGTGTCACCCAAAGAGAAGCTGGAATAGCGCCTGTTTCTAACGTACCCATAGGCAAGTATTCAATAAAACCAACGAAAAGGAGAAAAAGCACTCATATAGTACTTGGCGCTGTGGTGAAAGGTGGAGGGTGACAGTAGGCATGCCCCGGCTGCGCTGGGTCCTTTACCACCTAATTATTCTCACAACTTTGCAGGAGTATTATTATCTCCTCTGTAGAGCGAAAACTGAGAATCTATGTTAAGTTGTCCGGGCAGGAGAAAGCAGCAGAATTATCACAATTAAATGGGTCTGTACAATAAAATGGGTCTGCCTGATCTAAAGCCACCAGCCACGCTGCCTCTGGGCTTATAAAGCTCAGAGGTTCTGTAGAGTGTTCATTTGTAGGAAATCCACATTTTGAGTTCTAGGGGGAGTGACAGACCTATGGGCTCCTTCTGGGTCCCTGACATGACTTGGCCTGTGCCTGACTTTCCTAGTAAGCAATTGTACTGAGGAGTTGGGGAAGTTTCTGCCATTCCTTAATCTTAAGGAGTTAAGACTTAAAATACTGTTGGCTTGTTCACCATGCTAGCTGGTGAGTAATTTAAATTTTATCTGAGGATTTGTAAGTTTGTTTTTGTTTCTGAAGAGTGACTAAAAATTGCTATTTATTGTGTTTTTTTAAGGTGCTGGGCTGGATCATCATAGCAGCTGTTATTATCGTCGTTGTGATATTTACATCTGTCTGCCGATGCCTGTCTCCAGTTAGTTTTCTGCAGCTGAAATTTTGGAAAATTTATTTGGAGAATGAGCAGGAGATCTTTAAAAGTCAAGCCAAGGAGCATGCCACTGAATTGGCAAAAGAAAATATTAAATGTTTCTTTGAGTGCTCACATCCAAAAGAATACAACACCCCAAGTATTAAAGACTGGCAGCAAATTTCAACACTGTATACTTTCAATCCAAAGGACCAGTACTACAGCATGTTGCACAAATATGTTAACAGAAAGGAGAGTGACAGTATCAAATCTTCTGAAGGAGATGTAATGCTTCCTGTTCTTGGCTTTGTAGATTCTTCTGGTATAAATAGCTCTCCTGGGTTGTGACCTTATAAATGAATAGATAAAAAGTTCTTTTGAAATATTGAATTATTTGCTTCATAAAAAACCATTGATATTATTTATGGCTGTTTTCTCCCCTTTTAAATTGTAGGATTTTAGATCTGAATTGAAATATTAATCTCTTTATTATATTAATTACTAAACAAACAACTGAGAAAAAATGATTCACCCAAAATGATGAACAGAGACTACATTAGAAGTCTTATATCCCTATTCTAGGGTTCTTTTCAAATAAAACACTTTGGTCTTTTAAAAGCAATAGTTATTGCTTTCAGTAGTGAGAAAAATGAAACAGTTCAGCTTCAGACCTTTCTGTTAAGTTATCTGATGTTAGTTGAAAATTCACTTCCTTGCCAATAGCAGCTTATTAGGAACCTAAAAATTGTGACATTCTAACCTGCTTGTACCATTGTGGAGAACAGTGACCTGGGTCATGGTTTTTGACTGTCTCAGAGCTGTGGCTGTGCTTTGCTCTGGGAACTTTCTGTGCAAAGGTGCAGGACAAGATTGCTCAGTTGCTATATGATGCCTTGCCTGAGGAAGTTCTGTGCAAAGGCATGGAATTATATCAGTCTTGACTTTGAGCTCAGACACCAGCTGACAGGGATAGAGAATTCTGAGCATAACAAGATAATTACAATTGCTTTTAAGCCCTGTGAACTTCAAGCCTGCCTGCTTTGCAGAAACTTTCCTACAGAAAACCTTTTGATGATAAAACTTATATAATAAACGTGCTGCGCTAGGTCTGGGTCACTGTTCCTCCATCAGAGGTCGGTGTCCCACCTGGTCCCAGCTTTCTCTTTGTAAATGTTTGTGTGTCTTTCTTAATCCCCTGTTGCCCCTCACAGGTTTCTAGAGTTCAGCTGTGCAGGTTGCAGCATACTGTAATGTAAGTCCAGCATGCTGGACTTCTAGTCAACCCTACTGTGGTCTTTCAAATATAACAGCATTTTATGGCTCTAATATGGTTACTATGTAAAAATTAACCATGAAAAGGAAAATTTTCAAAAAACATAAAGTTGGAAAAGTAATTTAGGATAGCTGCAGGCAATAACTATTGCTTTTAGTTTGTAAGATCCGAGGAAACATTTTCAAGCTATTATGATAAGTTTAAAATATGTGCAACAGTAGAGAGGGTAGTATTATGAACCCCCTACCCAGTCATACAGCAGCTTCAGCAGAGAAGGAAAGGCAAATAAAATCCATGCCATACAAATAATTACTGGAAAAAAATGCAAATTGTGATTTGATTTAGAGTAGGGAAGGAAGAGGTTGGAGAAAGTCGTGAGAAACTGAAATCTATAGAGTAGGGAGCAAAGCAGTTCAGGCAGAAGAAAAAGGATGTGCAAAGACGCTGAGGTGTGACAGATCTTAGTTGGAAGCTTAAAGGCGAATGGAAAAATAAGGAAGGAACAAATAGGACAGAGCCTTGGAATCATATTAAGGTTTGGGTTTTCATTTTCTCTACATGTTAAGGAGATTTTTTTTTTTTTTGAGGAGAAAGGTATGGCAGGGAAAAGAGGAAGAGCTAGGGTGGAGGTGGAGAGACTAACAGGAGGTCACTGCAGTGGAAATAGGCAGGAGCAAACGTGAATTGGATGGGCAGTAATCAAAATGGTAAATAATGGATTTTGTACATGGTCATGACAGGATTTGTTGATGGAAAGGATGTAAGAATTTAGTGAGAGCTATGACATCTGTGATTTTTATTGTAAACTCTCTTACTTGATAATGCCATCACTTTTCAGGGAAGCTTGTCTTCCATTAGCTTGTCATTCCTGCCCATTCCTCAAATTTATGACTGATTTCTGCATTTTAGGAAATGGAATATGAAAACTTTAAACTGGTTATATTTAGCTCTTCCTCTCTTGGCAGACCCCTGTACTGGGTTCTATTTTGCCATTTTTTTTGCACAGGGCCCTTAAAAGGAACTAGTCAGAAGGGCTGAATATCCTGTGGTTGGGAGTCATGTTTAAAAAGAAAGTTGGCAGTGATGCTGCATGATCAGTTTTTTTCCACTTCCTAAAAAAAAAGTATTTTGAAAAGTCACATTATGCCTATTTCATTTTGCTTCTTTTATTTTATTTTCCATTTTTTCCTTTTATTTATTTATTTTTTCTCTTATTGGGGATTAAATCCAGAGCCATTTTACTTTTGAGCGACATCCCCAGTCCTTGTATTTCTTTGAGACAGGGTCTTGCACAGTTGCTGAGTGTTTCACTAAATTGCTGAGGATGACTTTGAACTTGTGATCCTCCTGCCTCAACCTCCCAAGCACTTGGGATTATAGGTATATGCCTCTGTGACTAGTTCCAATTTTTTTTTGTGTGTGTGTGTGTGTGTATTCTTTCCTTTCATAACTTTTTTTTTCCAGGTGTAGCCTGTATACTTACATCTTCAGTAGTATCATATTGTGTTTATTTTGTTGGTGTACGCTTCTCTTTTCTTGCAGGTTTTAAAAATTATTGTGAAAATATATGTGAGATAAAAATATATTCATATAAAAATTATAATAGTGGAAATTGTGTAAGATAGAAAGTAAAAGTACCTCATTTGCAAATTGCAATATTCACTTCCCTGTGGTAGTTATTATTCTGTCTGCAAAAAAAAGAAAAGAAAAAAAAAGACTGCACTAAAAATGTTGTTCTGTAACTTTTCACATAAAATATTATTCTATGTCAGTATATAACAATTTATGTTATTAAAAATTTCTGTATAGTATTCTACAGATTAGTAGGCTATAATCCTTTTTTTTTGTCAACACACACGAATCATAAAATGTATAAAGATAAGCCCCAAATTGTCAAATGTGGTCACTCCTGGAGTCTTAAGATTTGTATGGAGACTTTTTTTTGAACCTCAGGCACTTTTGATCTTTGGATTGTTCTTTTCTTGTTGTTTTTTGGTTAACGAATAATAAATATCAACTGCATAATTGGAAAAGATTAAAAATAGTCCTTACCATAAGGGCTTGCAGTCAACAAAGCAGTTTTGCATCTATGACCTCATTTTGTTTTCATGAGTTTAATGGGATACCCATAAACAGATCACCCACATTTAGGTGCGAGGAATCAAAAGTTAAGAGAGGTTGCATTACTAGTTCCAGATCATGTGGTCAACAAATGCAAAACCAAAACTAGGGAGCTGATCCTGTCTAAATCTTGTGGTGTAATATGGCTACGTTATTGTTTTTATTACTAGATCAGATTTCTCCCTTCTTCGCACAAGTGCCATTGTAAGCAGAAGAGATACAGATATTCTCAGCAAACCCTAATACTTTGCGTTTCATTTTGTGAAACTTGGCAACTGTTGATAGCTAAGACTGCTTTCAATAAAGATAGAGGGACAAAGATACAGTAGGATTATTTCATGGTGGGAATCTGGTCACTGCTGGTTGGCTTGCCACACCAATCCTCTGGGCCTGGCCTCAAATAGGCCACACCATGGGCTCAAGAAGTCTTTCTCTACTTGGTGTATATTTATTTGCTGGCCTACCAAAGAATTCTTCAGAATCATTCCCAGCTGTATGCTGACCTGAAGCCTTATTCTTGGGAGAGATTCAGACACAGCATCTGCTGTTAATATTTGCTGAAAAATAAACATATAAGAGATGATTTCACATTGTGCTGGGTACTGGCATGATATACAGTCTATAGGGAATAAGGTTAAGCATGGTCTCTTTGCTCCATCCAATGCTCTCTGAACTGATTTAAGATGAAATTCCCAAGGGAGACATCCTCAAACAGAATTAACCACATACCCAAATGTCTCTGACTGGAAAACGTCTTGGAACCCCTAACTTTGACAATACCCACATTTTATCTCCCAGGTGGCCTATGATAAATAACTCTCCCTAAGATTAAAGGTGGAGAAATACTCCCTGAGTCAGCCCTGGTAGCAGCAACCACTGCCTATTTTGTCACTACAAACTCCCACATTCTGCTTTTATTGCCCATTGTGTGCCAAACCCTTACCTGCCCTGAAAACTAAGCCTCTATTTGACCTAATTTTATCTCTTCCTTTTCATCACCTACCTATAGAATATCTCTTTTGAATTGCAGTGTGAAGACTATGAAATTGGTAATATTATATTTTTATTCAATGAAAGATCTGAATCAAAAAAGTATACATGCTGTCAAAATTCTTTGCCACACACTGTTAGAACACTAAGAAGTTTCACAGTAAAAGAAAAAAAGTCTCTAAGATCAGGCAAATTATGGCAATTTAAAAAATGGTGAGATATCAAAACTAGAATGGTATATGAAAATTATGTAAAAATTTAAAAACATATACAATGCAATCACTACCAAAGGGAAAGAAATAATACCTATTCAGTACCCCCCAAATCCCTGCCCCACATGTCTGTATAATTCTGGCTCTTTTCACCCAGAAGTGGGAGACAATAATTTCTTTCCTTTTATTTACAGTTTTAGAACCTGTATGTTACCAAACTAACATGAGGATGAATTTATTGCTTATTAGGCAGACTACTAATGTTTAGTTTTGCATATATTTGAACTTTATGAGAATGGAATCATCCTCTAAGAATTATTTTGTGATGTTCATCCATATTATGTCTAGAACAACTTTTTTTGATTTGCCTCATACTATTTCATTATGTGAATATATCACAATTCCTTCATCCATTGAATTACTGATAGACATTAAGCTATTCCATTTCTGGCTCTTATGAGCAATGCCAAAGTGAACATTCATGGATCTGTATTCTATGTACATGTGGTTTTTTTTTCAGGGTTTGTTTCAAGGAATAGATGAGAGCATAAGGGTATGTACATATTTCAGTTTGTCAGGTTATGTCCAATGTTTGCCTTAATGGTTTATTAATTTATTTTATTTTATTTTTTTAAGAGAGAGAGAGAGAGAATGAATTTTAATATTTATTTTTTAGTTATCGGCGGGCACAACATCTTTGTTTGTATGTGGTGCTGAGAATCGAACCCGGGCCGCACGCATGCCAGGCGAGCGCGCTACCACTTGAGCCACATGCCCAGCCCCTTATTAATTTATATTACTATGAGAGTTTCCACTATTTTTTCCACAGTTTTTTTAACCTCTACAATATTTGGTATTCTCAATTGTTCATTTCTGTCACTCTGATGAATCTGTATATTAGATAATCAGAGGCAGATGGCCACCAACTGTTTGATTCATTGTACCATATTCTTAAGTCACACAGTTTGATACCAAAATAACAATTTGAATAAACTTGAATCTGAGACATGGTACAAATATGGGACAACCTATTCCGATGGCAAAGCAGGTACCTGAATACTTAAGGGAGTCATTAAACCCTCGTTATTTCATGGAGACGAGATTATCATATGTCTAGGCATCTTTAAAGATATTTAAAAGCACTTAGAGGGAAGGGCATAAAAATCAAAACCAGATGTTTTTCCTCTTAAAAATAAAAACAATCCTAACCCTTTTCTGAGCGTCCAGCTCTGCTCAAGATTTCTTGATGAGACAACTGCTTCTACTCAATTCATATGCAATCAAAAGGACTAACTTTATTTTTTATTTTTTTAAATAAACACTTGTGTTTTTTTTTTTTTTTAGAGAGAGAGAGAGAGAGAGAGAATTTTTTTTTTAATATTTATTTTTTAGTTTTCGGCGGACACAACATCTTTGTTTGTATGTGGTGCTGAGGATCGAACCTGGGCCGCACGCATGCCAGGTGAGCGCGCTACCGCTTGAGCCACATCCCCAGCCCAAAAGGACTAACTTTAATGAGTTCATTTTTTAAAGAAAACTTTTAAATCTGTTTGCCACTGTTCATACCAACAGAAT